GGAATGCCCAGTTCCCTAATAACATCAATGGCAACCAAGGTGCTGAAAGAGTTAAAGAGGTTAAATTTACAGATGTATGCATATTTCTAATAACTGCCATACTAATACAGCACTGCTGCAGCAGCAATGATCTGAAAAGAGAAGACAAAGTTATTAGAGAGTATTAATACTCCTTATTAGAGTAGCAGATAGAATTGGACAATATGGAAAAGTTTTGGGGCACAGAAGTCTTTTTTAGTCTAAAGAAAAAAAATGTCAATAGTGAAAAAGGAAGAATAATTCTAGGCAGCAGTGGAAGCAGGCAAGGTGTAAGCCTGAAGCCTTAGTACGATCGCCCATTCAAACCCTGCAAATAATACTTGAAAATAGCAAAACAAGCACTGAAATCGGAGAAGCAAAAGTGACAAAGAAAACTTCCTAAACCATGAATATGCAATTTACCAGCTCAGTTTTTGATGTCAGATAATACTGCTGTCAAAATTCTGGCCACAGGCCCGCTAAAAAAAAAAAAAAAAGCGCCCAGGGAGGAAGGGTGGAAGAAACAAGCCTCACCCATAGGGGAAGGTGTTAAACCCCAAAATCTACCTTGAACATAGAAGTTAACTAAGGCAGGAAAAAAAAAAAAGACAATTTCCTTGAGTCAAAATATTTTTTTTCTACACTTCAAACAGTATATCAGCTGAGTTTCACTGCAGGAGGCATAAGCTTTTATTTAAGTAAAAAAAGAAGTTAACTTATTTTTCCTTAAGCAAAGAGGCAGTTGCTCTGTTACATGATGTATCCAAGATCTGAGGAAACACACATTTGAAGGATAAGCCTTTCTTTTCTCTCTACATAGTAAGTAACAACAGCAGAATAATAATTTCCTCCTTCAGCTCCACCACTAACATTTTCTACTCTCCTGTCAGCTCCGGATGTTCCTACAGTGCTGGTTCCTAGCCTGGTCAATTATCTGGTAATCTAGAATATTTCCAATCTCCTAGGAAATGTATTAAATTACTGGTTTCAGGTATCAGATGTAAGACCAAGTAAGTCCTTCCATTTCTTCAACTCCCCTTCCTCCAAAAGAAACTAAGAAATTGCTTTCAGGCTTTCTACATTGTGTGATACCAAAGCAAAACTATATGATTAACTTGAAAGTACAATTATCCAGAAAAACGTTTTCAACTTTCAAATCCTGACACAGCAAACTTCCCCTCCTACTGATCTGTGCAAGAGATGCCATTCAGCAGAGAACCCCATAATTAATTTTTCAGTCTAACATACACCTTTCTCTGAACATACCTCAAATTGCTATGTAGAATTTTGCCTTAAAAAGGAAAGAGACACCATTGAGGACAACAAGCATTCTAAAATTCAAAGATCCTACAGAGTCTACTTCAACTAGTTATTTCAAGTTGTTTAATCACCTGAGAGCCAAAGGATTTTGCTACAGTTCTTCTAATGGATTTTAAAATGCTAGTGTGTTTTGCTCAAAGTCAGCAGGACAAGATTAGGATTCACACTGCAGAACTGGGTTTCCACCTGGTCTGTTTTTTAGGACATACAAGAGAGGCTCAGTCGTCTTGCCTCAAGGGAGTGTATGTCATTGCTCTGGCTTTCTTCTCTGGATCCAAAAGAAATAGGTAATTGATGGCTGATATCTCTGATCACGTAGGCTAAACAAATTTAAGCTCTCACACATACTGGCTGAGCTCCCCATGGAAACCAGAGGTCTCTGCCACATTAAAAAAAAAAAAAAAAAGTAGTCCAACACCTCACCCCCACACCCAAAAGAAACACCCAAACACAAAACCATACATGATGATATCTCTCAGAGGCAGAAGACAGGCAGGATCTCAAGGAGTTTGCCTATCCTATTTCAGTAGGTAAAATTGCAGAGGACAAGGCAATATGTTACTTGAACCACCAACGCCAATATAATCTAAACTAAATAAAACATATGGCTCAACTAACAAGCTGTACAAGAATCTTTCTGTTTCTAGACCTCTTCCAGTGTGACTTCAAATACTTCCAAATATGGAATTTATCAAGGTGTTATAAAAAAATAAAATCCAGCCAACAAACAGAAAACTTCCTGAGCTGTAAATTTGGTCACAAGAAGATATTCTAGATTTTGTGCAGACGTTATTTGCCAATTCTTACATTGCAGTACACATTTTCTCTTCTCCACAGCAATCAAACTGATCCCTAGCTACAACATGATTTATGTCTGGAATCACTCTCTTTAATGGCAATGACAAGTATCTGCTCGATACAGTTGTAAAAATAATCTTGTCCAAGATCATGGTTTCAGCACAGTGTACAGCAAGACACCTGGCATAAAGCAGACAACATTACCTCTACAGACACCCTCTCTTGCACGACCAACTTCAAAACTGGAGTTTAGAAGTATCTCATATTGTGGGGGAAAAAAATTAAGTCAAATATATAAATTTAAACTCCCCCAGCAAGAAGTTTGACACTTACAGAAAAAGTAGTGAAACAAGACTTCAATCAACTGCATTAAATAAAATTGTAATTAAGAATGAAAATAACATTATCGGTCCCTCCAAGCGCCAAAAGATGGCATTTTGCACTATACCTGCAATGACAGCCCCTCTGAAACAAAAGAGAACTGCTGTTTGTTGTTGTGGCAGTAAGTTCAGATGCTAAACAAAATAAATGTAAAGATGGAAAAATCCTTCCTATTATACGTACATAAGAAAATATTATATAGGAAAACATTTTTAGAAGGATGCCCTTAGTTGGCCATCAACTTCCAAAAATAATCCTGCTGGTACCAGTGGGATTTTTTACTAGTTCTGTGTGTATACAACACTGATATAAAAAAATAAACATTTAAAAATATTATAAGATTTCTGCCTAAGAGCCCCAAGTCAGGAACTTTAAATAATGTGGAGGTTTTATCCTTAACTTAGTATTTTGTATGACAAAGACTTTCAATACATATGAACTCTTCATATTCTGAAACGTGCTACAGGAAAAAAAAAAAAGAGACAGAAACACAGTTTAGTTTCCAAAAAAATAAAACCTCTTATGTTTAGCCTGAAGTCTTCCCAATATTAATTTAAACCAACTTTGGAGCATGCATTTGTCCCCTGCAGATATAGAGACTGAATTTATTGATCCCCATAAAATACTCCTGTCCGCAGTCTATCATCTCCATGATCTGAAGCAATGTATAATGAACATGGTTAATTTTATGTTTAGAAAAAGGGCTGATTTTGTTTTGCTGACATTTTCTTAGCTTCCTGGTTTAGTAGCTTTTAACTAATATAGCAGATCATACTACTTACATCACAGTTTTGGGAATCTAATCTACCGTTACAAAGGATGAGAACAAAATAACTCATTCTCCATTTCCTCCCTTAAGGCATGCATCTCAAACCAAAAGAACAGTCTCCAAGCTCCTACTATGCAGATTTAACCAACGACAAATATTTTTAAGTAATTCTACTCTCACCCTCGGGTGGAGAGAAAAAAAAAAAAAAAAGAGTAATGAAGATGCAACGCATCAAATAACTAGGGACCATAGGAACACAACAGAAATTAGTTCCTGGTCCTAATACTCACGTTGTCTTCTGTTTAGGCTGTCAGAAGAATTTATAAGAGCAGTAAGGGAAACATGCTCCCCAAAAACAGAGAAGAAAATGACAAAACAAAACGAGAGATACAAACTCCTCTTTCTAAAAGCACTGGAATTCAGGATATGGCTCCTGGTCAACTTTTTATCCAGCAGCCTTTCAGCTGCACTGGAGCTGCCAGCCTTCTGAGTTAACTCCAGAACTATGCAACCGGGTAACAAAACACTTGTGAGAGCACAGTTTATCGACCAGTGCCAAGCCAGAGATAAATAGCGTGGTCTTACTTAAAGTGAGAGAGTGAACTGGTTTTAAATGCAATAAAAACTGGAATAATCTTCAGCTACATGGCATCTGCCAAACAAATGGAAGACTTAAAACATGGTTTAACAGGATACAAGTAGCCAAAGATGAAAAAAAAAAAACCAAAACAAAAACATCCCAGCATGTTATAAGAGACAGCAGGTTCAGGTAGCAATTTAAAATGAATCCAATTTTGCAATACTGACAGCAGGCAATTTCAAATTCCCAAACCAGACACACAATTCAAACTCCTTCAGTTTTGGTTTTTTTCCTACTTCTCTCCGCAGCCATTAGCAAATCCGGTCAGTTCAGCTCTTTCAGGACACAAAAGAAATACCTTAGAAAGCACAGAACCACCCCAAAAATTACTACACAAGGTTTTCAACACTAGTCTCATCTTCCTCTTTGCTTTGCTCTATGGCCCTCACTGAGACAAACAAGGTTTCTCTTAACACAAAGGAACCTGAAGATTGTTACGCTCAGGCCAGGATTATGCCAGCACTCAGGCTGCTAAGGCCTTTGAGCTGGTGCAGCACGTCCCCGCACGCCTGGTGTGAGGAGGAAGTGGCATTGCAGCACTTCTGCTCCCTCTACCTGGGGCACAAATGGATGGACCGCGCAGAGAGTGTTGATGCGATACTGAACTACTCAGAAACCGCAGCACGCAGCAAGAGGCTAACTGAAATGTAGTCTTTTCTGAGAATAGTGCAGCAAGAAAACAGGGTGAACAATTAGCCTCTGAAATCACCCACGTTGTTCCTGAGATGTTCTCAGGTCAGCACACCACCACATTACACTTTATAACTTTGACCACATCCAGCAGAGTGTTACGGAAAGAGCAGAAGTAGTAACCCAGCCTCACTTGAGGGGCAGGGGGAGGAAAAAGATCAGCCTTCTCTCTTTCCTTCTCAGCAACCAAAAGACCAAATACTACCAGAGGTGAAACAAACAAAACAAAAAAACCCCACCATTCCTCAAGAGTTACAGGCAAAGGGAAAAAAACAGTCATTTAACACCTGCCAGCAAGAAGTGACTGGAAAATGAGGGTTCCCGTATACGGGGAAACAAAAATTGTTTCCCATATACAAATTTGCAAGACAGTCAATTTGTACTCTTTGTTGGCTCAACCTGCCTTTCTATTATCAGACTAATTTTTTCCCCTTCTCTTCCCCCTCCTTTTTAAACAAGTCTTGAAACATAAAGTCTAACTCTTTTCAGAATCCTAAATACACGCTTCAGCATAGGAGTGGCTTTCTTTCCCACTTTCAGGCTTTGATAAATCTTTTCCAGTTAAACCTACCAAATTAGAGGGGTGCCTGGTTTATAACCCTCAGCAGCAGAGAGCACAGCATGCTCCTTACACTTACATGCTCACATTTGAGATACTTCGCTTCAAAGACCTGTTCCTTTGACCTCGGAGTACCAAGTGCAAGATACAGCATGTCTGAAACAGCTGATACACCCTTTCAACAACAAAATAGTTATTGCAGATAATTAAACAGATGTAAGAGAAGGGCAGGTCTGGTATCGGCCTTTTCAAATCTCCAGATTAATCTCAACATCACTAGTACAACTGATGTCAGATCTGCAACTGAGCACTAGGTTGTCTTTCTCCTCCATTTAACAGCTTGTAATATGCTGACAAGACAGCTACCAGAGTCCACCTTCTGCATCAGTGACTAGCAACTGGGCATTTCATTCTAAACTTCCATTGCTTTAAACACTGATTTCAGTCGTTGTAAGAGTTCAACACCTGTTAGAACAGTAAATACAGATAGGCATAAAAATCGGCACATTTCTGTATCAGTCACTGAATTAGTCATGGTATGATATGTGACTAGCCACTCAAGGCATGAATTTTCATTCTGTGCTGCTTTTATTCAGTGCTTTGATGGATAAGCTAGATTCACTGAAAGACTTGCAGAACTTGTATAAATCAAGAAATCACCAAATCTCTAACAGAGGCTTGTTTTGGGCATTTTCCTCTAATTTCCTGAAACTAGTTTAAGTAAAAAATTAATGGAAGGACACGTTCTCAGTTGATGGAGTAATAGCAAGGATTCTCAACTTCAAACAAGCTACCAAAACTCTACCAGGATTACATAAATAAATGGTTACTTGGGCTGGTAATTCCTTTAAGTGTGTGTGGTTGCTGGCTTGGTGCAGGGAGGTTGCCAACAGCTAGCAATTTCAGAATTTATGTTTTCCATGACATTTTGTCCCCCTCATTTCAAAACAGTTGGACCACAGACCACTGAACACTATTTTTTTAAAGAAACTTAATATAGAAAGTGCTCAAAGCTTAGGATTTTGTTACAGAACAAAACGTCCAAGGACTCCACAGCTACACAAGGTCAAAGAAACAAGCGTCTCTGAGACAGGTCAGAGCTGAGCATGCTGTAACCTTGCCTCATTGCCCCCTGACCACGAGCAATTGGTCAGTTCTGAAAAGCTTTGGAAATTCACCCTCTGCCTTAGAAAAACTCTCCCATGCTGTATGCTAAGTCTGAAGTTTGACCAAGGAAAACAGGATAAGACCTTCAGAAATAAAGAACAAAATGGAGTTAAACAAGCCTACAGGAACCTCTGCATTCTCTGTTCCTGCACCTCTGCAACACATCTTTACAAGCCAGCACAGAAGATATTCAAGATGACCAAAAAAAGGTTTCTAGATTGTTCCCTTAGCAAAGCGCCAAATCTTCATTAAAGACTGTCTGGTTATCTTAATCTTGCTAGAAGGAATTAGATTGCCTTTGTCAACCTTAGCTACACAGTAAAACTCTTTCATTTGGGTGGCTCTTGAAGTGTATTTTACCACAGGGCTACATCCCAGGTTAATTAATAGCATGCTACTGAAAATAGTTTCCTGAACTAGCAGAAAAACAACTCAATAAAACAGCTTCATCTCTAAGAAGAGACAGATTCTTCTGGCACTGATTTTATCCGAGTTTGTGTTTTGGTCTTCACTGACAGGAAGTAGGACCAGGAGCTGCTGCCACCTTAGACAGTCTTGGCTGGTAAGCATTCCCCTACCTTAAAAGCACACACCACAAGTCCTGGGGCAGATTTTCTTTTTGTGCACTCATCTTCCAGTACTCGGCCCTCTGAAGGAGGGCTAATTGTATTCTCATTCCCAATGCTTCCATGCAGCCTTCACAGTAATTACAGTAACACTTTTCTGCACTACTCTCGGGGCAAGAAAGAGTGAGTTCTTATTTTCAGTGGAGACTTCCTTCTTGAAAAGAATTTAGACCTAGGATAGTATCTTAAGTGGTTTCACTACTATGTATTCATGCTACTGTGAACTTTCAGGTGGACTTCAAGATGGAGCTCCGTGTGTTGATTCCTGTAAAGTGTACCTCTAATTATTCAAGATCTCTCTTTAGTCAAGATCTCACTTGGTTTCAACCACCTGCCCCCTAAAAAAAAAAAAACAAACAAAAAAAAAAAACCACAACATTCACCTGATTCCTTCTGAGACAAAACAAAGAAAGGAATAAGATGTCAGCTTTCCCTTTCTTGCAATACAAGGAGCAGAGGGACAGGACAGTCCATGAAATTGTACCCATAAACTCAGCATTCCTAATACAGAACACTTCTTACCATGCATGGGCTGCCAGCTTGCTGGTAAAAAGGAAAATCTGTACAGGATATCAAAACTACCCATAATTTGCCTACCAAAAAATACTTCAGAGAAGTATTATAAATATGAAATTTTATCAACTAAGTTAAGGTCTATCAGAAATCAATAGGCATGTGGTAGTTTCTGCTGACGTCAGCCTTTGGAGTCTTTGTGAAGTATCCAACAGATACTTCACTTTCGTGTCTGACTTGATAGATTGTCTAAACCAAATCGTAACCAAAAAAAAAAACCCCCAAAACCCCCCAAAAACAACAACAACACAACCCAAAAGGCAAACAAAACCACCCAAACCCCCACAACAACTTAATTACTGAATCTTGATGAAACTGTAAGACAAATGCATGCAAACAACAGATTTTGCCCTCAATAACGAATATGTGCCCCTTGCACAGCAATGTGGCAAAACAATGGCTATTTTCAAAGCGTGAGCTTTTGATGTTCCTGAGTAAAACTGTGTAAGCTTAGACATACAGAGATGATCTCCACAAATTTGCTGAAATACTAAGATGGATCATGGGAAAACACACTCTGAGGCCAGATTAAAGATGTCACCCAAGTTCAATATTTGATTTAAGCTTTTATATATATAAAAGCAAAAAAGCAGGGGAAGGTACTTAAGGATTTGTAGATTTTAAAGAAAGGAAAACATAAGGAAGAAGAAGGGTTCCATACTTCAATCTAGTGCTAAAACAGTACTGCAGTATCATCTACATAAAATATAGTAAATATTTAATCTTTATTTATATACATATACATTGCAGTGCTTTATATATAATATATATAAATTATACGTAGCATATACGAAATATATATATATATATCAATATTGCAGGTGGTCAACTTAGAGCCTACTAAGTTGGAGAGTGAAGGAGAAGAGACTCTTCTATTCTTTTAAAGCCCAAGCAGCCACCACATTCCACTCAGTAGCTATCTGTGTCTCGCTAACTGCATTCTAAGGAATACCACCTAGCCCTCCAATCAAACTTTCTGTGGCTCACTTTTGCCTCACTGGAGGCTAAATCTCTTCAGAACAGACTAGTCATGACTTCACTGTACTGTGCCCATTCCTACATCCCCTTCAGAGCCTAAGTGCTCCAGTGGTCTCACACATTTCTATCTCATTTCAATGAGTCTAAAATAATGCAAAGACTGTGTGGTAACTTCCTACGAAACTGAGGTTGTCACCACATGAAACTGAATGTGCCACAGGTCCTGACAGAACGTTAAGCAATGGTTGAAAGCATCCTTTGTGCTGGGCTGCAGCTAGGCACTTTACCCAAATATAACGTAAAAGAAGCTATTATTTGGGTTTAGAACCTATGAAGAGCAAGGGAGTTTACTTACATGACATGTTAACATAACTGTTTCCAGTTCTGCATATACCAGTCTTCAAAAACGCTTACCTTTTCTGAATAGTTCTTGAAGGCTCTCTGCACTTTGATTCAAAATAGCCCATATTTCCTCTTCCTGCAATGGCCCCCCCCGAACCTCCAGAGCCTCTGCCAGTGATACATGCATGTTACCTGTGAAATAAGATAGACTGATTTAAGAATACACAGACTTATTTTCTCCTTGTACGCAGTATTCGAAGAGTAGTAAGCCATGTTCAATTCTCAGTCACAAAAATTCCCTAAATTAATAGAACCCATCAAATATGAATACCACAAAACATTCACCATGACAATAAAGAACACTGAGCACCTGTTATTACAAAGAAGAAACACTTGGGTCGAGACAACAATGAGCCACATTAATACTGTAGGCTACTAAATCAATAAACTCAACCAGCTGGCATTAGTCTGTATGCTATGGGCTCTGTTTAAAAGAGTGACAGAATGATTAGTAGTTACAGGTTTATTAACGGTAAATCGGCTATTAACATTATTTTGACAGGTTTAAGTCAGTCAAGCTGCGGTTAGAAAAGGAAGCTCTTCTTCCAATGTATTTTCACAGGGCTGCTTGTATTGTCTCATGACCAAATAATAAGCAGCACTGCCTGCAAACATGCAAGCAAGCTAGCTGTGGAACTGATAGTTATAGCCTTTGTTCAGCTTCTTCATACATTTAAGAAAACAAAGTAAAACCATTAGGAGCACTCCACGTGTTACATCCCCAGAAACAAATAAAGACTTCCTTCCCCAGCCTTAATATTTTTTCAGAGTTAAACCATTATCACTTATACCACAATACGATATTCAGTTGTTTAAACCAATTTGAAATCTGAAGAACGCATCATTAACTATTCAAAGTCAAAGTTTCATAATTTGTGTAAGCTCTGGAGCAAATAAACCATGTGTCTGCTTAATTGCGTCAGCTTTCTGTGGACACTAACTATTCTCAGATTGAGCACTCATGCCAATTTATATTTCCAGCTGAGACACAGCTGCAGTCTCTCTCTCTCTGCTTCTCTGCAAAGCCCCAAGAACAAAATCTTGAGGCAGTGAGCTACAGTAAAAGCCTAAGGTATATCATCAATCATCAGTGACGCGTTTCTTGGGTCTCAAAGGCTCCAAAGCTGCTGCTGGAAATAGAAAAGACAGTTCCACAAGCAATGCATGTTTATCCCCAGGATCAGTAACTGGTATCAACAGCTTGAGATGGCCTAATGGTACTGCTGGAGGTTCCTGCCCCCCTCTTCCATCAGCTAGCCAGAGCCTCCCTGTCAGCATACCATCCTGGCTCAGATGCACACTCATGGATACTAATCTAACAATTTACAAGGAGGACAGGCTGATTTAGGCCTTATATTTAGTTTTCCAACTGTCTAGGCAGTTTCGTACCTTCCATGATTTTTTTACTTCCAGATAACCAGGCTCATACCCATATAATGGCAGTATAAAAGGCTAAATAGCCTGCAGTTTCTAGCCGAAAACATAGGCTTTGAAGGTACTTGAAGTATTACCCAGAGCCTTTTCAGCTAGAATCCTGTACTACGCTGGTGAAAAATTACATTATTGGCTGAATTGTAATCACAGATAGCCCATTTTTGCTTACTTCACAGCTTGCCAGATTTTAGTATTTGATTATTCTCCATATTTACTAAGCCAGATATATTTTCAACAATTAATATTCAGACATCATCATGAAAAAATAATGTAAGGGAAAACATCTCCAGACCACATGTAAAAGAAAGATGAAACCCAAATCCCCAAAACAAAAAATAAATACACCATTCAAAATGGAAAGCTAGAGACCAACACTTGCAATAAACGGATGGAAAGCCAGGGATAAATGTTTCATTTCAGCATGAGATTCACCTACACTGGGCATAGTATGCCTGGTCTATCATCTATTCCAGGGAAATTTGTGATTTCATGGCACTATCTCAAATTTCAGTATGCACATGTAAAATCAAAGTGGATTATTCAGATTAAAAGGTCTCATCTTCTCCTAAGGACTAAAAAAATATATGATCTGCAAACAAAAACTTTTGGTGCTAAATATTCTAAAGGACATACGCTGAGCATAAAAGCAGCAAAAATCCTCCCCCACCCAATCCTTCTTTGCCACTCATCTTTTCCCCCTATCCTGTAAAATCTTGATTCCTTTCAGCTATGATTAGTGTGGACTGTTCTGCAGCAGATCTAAGCCAACTCCCTATTTAACATCTTTACAGAGAGCATAAGTTTGTCTGCTCAAACTCCCAAACATGTTACATCAACAGTAAAAGAATCCTACAGAAAACAATTTCTTGATGACAGTAAGAAGTGTACGAGTATCCACCCAGCCATGCAGGCCTCAGCTGTAGCAGTGCAAGCAACAGAATCTGCTTGTGCGTTGCAGATGGCAGTAGCTTGGCAAGTAAAACCAAACCTAAAACATTTCAAACCGGTTTCAAAAGCCCAAGCAGAATACAACAAAACGTCAATCCTTACAAACACAGCCACGTGCTAAATGGCAGGAGCCAGGATGTGAGTGGGACTCTCAGTGATGCTGGTTCAGTAACTTATGGGTAACTTTTCTTCCTCAAAACTACCCTGAAGCTGCATCCCATGCCTGTCACAAGAAAGAGCAGGCCAACACACTGGTTATGAGTTCTCCATCTGCACAAGCCACCTGTTAGCAGCCAGGCACAATTAATTTTACATGATGAAGCAGACAGTGAGAGTCCCTGGCTCACAGCATGCTTCCTCCCAATCACTTTGCTGGCGATGGATGTTTCTCATAAGGAGAAAGGAGAGATTTGTAGGAATGATAATGTTTGCAAAGCCCAATTCTTCCCAATTTGCTGTCTCACTAGATTCTGGGAGCATTCGACAGTGTCTGCTCCTTTGTGAACACAGAAGCTAAAGTGCTCAATACATACATCAACTTTTGTTTTGTGTAATGCCCGAACATTTTGATAAATTGCAACATAATGACAGTACCAAGTAACTGATATGTGAGAGAAAAAACCCACAAAGTTTTTGTAGAATATCATATCAAAAATATACAGAATGTTTATCTTCACATCTTAGCCCTCTAATTGCAGTTACATCCATGGCTACATAGTTGTGTAACATTCCTTTGCCAATTGAAATTAATCGCTATTTAAAATATATACTTAAACTCCCATGGCTAAGAACTCAGAGAAAGGAAGTGGGTGACAGCAACAGGGGACAACAGACTAAGAACAGCAACCTCTTAAAATGCAGGAAAGAGAAGACAGAGTAAAGATGAGCTAGCTCTCTGTTGAGGATAAACTTTCAGCTGATTTAAACTGAGCAAAGAGAGGCTAATCCAAGCAGAGAGGGTGAGTGGACCTCAGAAAAGGTGAATAGGCCTGAAAAAACAGAATACAAAACTGCAACTAAAATGAAGACTTTTCTCTTGTACTAACGGTACAAACGAGTCTGCTTCAAATTTCAAAAGATGCTCCTGGCAGTCCCTGTATTTTTCATGGTATCAAGTTGACGGGCAAAGAAATCTAGACGCACTGACAGAGTTCTCAAAGGACTCTCAGATTTCTGTCAGGGCCATGAGTCCTCTCCCTATCTCCTCTTCATTTAAGGTAAGCAAGAAAGGTTGTCCTGGCATCCTGTGCCCTGTTCTTTTCCCTCCTTGCAATAACAGAGGCAGATTACACAGACAGATTGAAAGCTGTCTTCTGTGCACGAGTTCACTTCCTTTTCCTTGGGACAGCATTACAGTGGCGTCTTAACATGAAGCCAACACCACCACTTAGCTGGATGGGATGGGAAGGCTTACAAAGCAAAGTGCATCCTGTTTCTGCACCTCACTTCACAAAGTGAGAAATCCGGGTGCTGTCATGATCCGGAGGCACGTCAAAGGGCTAGGTGGTATGAACTCAGCATGAACCATGAAGGTGTGGATTCCCCATACGCTCAAAAACCTCAAAAGATCATAGCCACAGAACATCCATAAAGGGACATTCCCACAGAGAGCACAACACAGTGTAGGAAGACCGGGGACAAATGAAATAGTTAACACTGGAGAAGCATAGACATGAACAGGAGTTTTGGGTTGCTCATGGGACAGAATTTATCCTAGACCATAGAGGAGTGCAATTTCCACAGGAAAGGAGTTGCATCATGTGGAGGCAGCTCTTTTTCGCTCCAGGACAAGAGAGTAAATTCAGGTGTAAATCATTTGTATCAACAAGCCCTGAGTGTGATTTCTCACTCTCCACGCCATTCAGCCCAAAGCCATACAGGCAGCTCAGTCCCAAGAAAGAATGCCACTTAAGCCAAAGGCCTCTCCCAGATCTCAAACACTTCCTTTAAAAAGCCTGTTTACCTCATGAGGACCAACTGCCAGCTCCTCCCTCCAAAGCCGACAGCTTATACACTCCCTGGCGAGTGGGATGGGTAGCTCTGTCTCTTCCCTGTAAAGCAAGCTCAGTAACCTCCTTGCACCTACACTCCGCAATCCCAACCACAGCTGTTAAAAACCCAACACCTATGGAACACACAGGCAGTGCCAACGTGGTGCACAAGGCAGCCTGAAACTTCTCAGTCCAAGGTATGAAGGAAAGCAGAGCAGGAGCAGACCCCCGAGTAACACTGTCAAAATTACTATTTGCAAGGTATATACTTTTCCCCCCCAACAATCTGCAAAGTTTTCAAAACACCTCACTTCCTAGTTTTTTTTATATGCAGCACAGAAGCTAAATGTTCAAAATTCTCATTTCTCCCAACCACCAACTTTTTTCTTTACGCATTTTAAATGGATGTCTCCAGCAGTAACCAATTAGGAAAAGTTTAATGGCCTATTCTTTCCAGATTTTATTGAACTCTTGTTAGCTGAAATATTTAAAAGCTATTGCTATAACTGTGTTTAATAAAGACAGTATCAGTATTTTTGTCAAAAAGTTCCTAAAATCAGACTGAAAGTCAAAAGGATAAACTGCTACAACTTAACCATTGCTTATGTTTTGGTTATACACATCCCTTGCTTTTTTCCTTACCTTCTGCATCAGCATTTTTCCCCATGTTGCAACTTCAGAACCAAAACCTTAAGTGAAAAGCTGCGCTTTAACAACAGCTAACCAAGATGCCTGGAGTATTTCATGCTTATTT